GCTGTCCTCAAAGTGTTTTTTTTTTTTTTTTTTTTTTTTTTTGTCTAGCTGCCTCCCACTTTCATCCTATGGGGGTGCTACGCAGGATTATAACTTGTGTGTCACATCTGCACCTCGCCACTGTGCAGTTCCAACATGGGGACTCTATAGCTGGTTTGGATGTGGAGCTCAGAAAATTCTGAAGAGCTGTGGGGAAAACCGTTTCCAAAACCAACAGTGCTAGCTCACGTGTCAGTCATCGGCGCTAACAGAAAAGCAGAGGCTGCGAGAAAAACTTGTAAAAGACTTAGATTTGGGAAAGTCTAATTTTACTATCTTATGCAAATTAGGAAAAGGTCCCATTACTGAGTTTAACAGAAAAGGGCATTGGTCCAGTATTCACCAGTAAAACAGTTTAAGAATAAAGAATGACTACCTTCTGACTCTTTATAACGGTCTTTCATTCCTTATTTTTATTTTCTAAAAATTTGTATTTCTTTCATGAGAGAGTGAATAAAAGAGACAGGCACCCTCGACAGGTCCCACCATGACGTGACCGAGGCCTTCCAGCCAGCCAGGGTCACAGGTTCCCTGTGAAGTGCCCAGTGGATTTGAACCTGGGCCTTTCCATATGACTCCAGTATTCTGCCTGATCATTAACGTCCGTAGGAAGTCAGTTAGAACATGCTGTGTATAACTTTCTGCTTTAAAGAGAGATATTATGTATTTTAGAAAAGAATACTCAGAAGGCAGTCAGGATATTTAAGTGGGTGTATCCCATTCATATTACAACATAATAACCTAGAATATCTTCAACAGTTCTCTGAAAGACCCCCCCTAACATAATAACCTAGAATATCTTCAACAGTTCCCCCCCCATAACTTGGAAGTGAAGTCCACTTAGAAGACAGTGCCAGTTTGCCTCTGAGTTGAAGGTCTGTGAGGCTGGAAAATGATTGTAGTTTAGAAACTGTTTCTTGTTGGGAACAGCAGATGGCGTAATGGCTATGTCTCTGGACTCTCATGCAGTTGACCGCATTTCAAGTCCCGGACCTGGCGCCTTAAACTCGTGCCGGGCGCATGTGCGTGTGTGCCCAAGATCTTAAGAGGAGAATGGAGGAGAAGAGATTGTGGTTGTGGTGTGGCCATCCCTCCTGAGGGGGTGATTTCTCACTTTCTATCTCTCTGTCTCTCTCTGTCTTTCTGGCGAGTGCATGCACCCTATAGCAAAACTCTCTCCAAAAAAAGAAAAAAGAGAATGTGCCTTGTCTGTCACCACTCAGTGGAGGAACTTCAAGGTTAGTTCTTTGAGTCTTCCACAGAATTCTCAGAAATACAATGGATACTCAGCAGAGTGAAAGCCAAGGGAGGGGAAAAGCAGGTACAGGGAGAGGGGAGATAACCTGGCAACTAGTCCCTGAGGGGGCATCTGGTGACACAGGCAGAGGGGCTAACCCTGAGGGGATGAGGGACACGGGGGGGTGGCGGGGGAAATGGCTGCCGATGCAGGTACATGTGTGTCAGAGAGAGCAAACAGGGCGCTCTCCCTCGATAAGCCCTGCTCTCTCGGTGAGGTCGGCACAGCTGTCTGCTGAGTGAGGGGAGACGTGGAGATCCAGTCATCGCTGGAGGAAATGTGAGCGGGATCTGGACAGGCACCTGCAGGACTGGGGGAAACCGGGACTTGGACAACCTTTCCAAGCCTTTCCTCATCTGTAAAATGGGGATGTTTTGTGTTCTTCACTTAGGATAAAAGGCTTGCAAAAAGTAACTTGTGTAGAAGTGTTAGACACTGCTGCTGCCAACATCTTCCCAAATGATGCTGCATTTCCATGATCTTAACCTCCTAACATATATTGTTGGGCAATTATATACTGTTACATAATTATATACTTTCATAATTACATACCAGCATTGCATACTATTAATTATTTCATACTTCGTTAATTTTCTAACCAGGCTATCAACTCTTTGAGAGCACGTGGGTTCATGCTTCTCTCGAGCTCCAGTTTTGACTAGTGACACCACGGGTTGCCCTGCAGGGACTCAGTCAACACTTCGAGCTGAACCAGCTCCCCAGATCACCCGGCGTCCCATGTCATGGGTGCTGGAGAACATGGAAGTCAGTAGTAGTTGTGTAACTGAACGGGTAAACTGAGATACCAATCATTTCGTTTTATAATTTATTCATTCATCCTCACAAATATTACTCTCTGGTGTAACTTTTCTGTAGTATTTTGATATTTTTCCACCTTTAAGACTTTTCCATAGAGAGCAAATGCTGGTCAAGGGGAGACAGTGTCCATACCTGGGTGCAGTATTCAATCCTCTCCAAAATGATGGCGAAGTTGGGCCTGTCTTCAGGCTGGTGTTGCCAGCACTGCGTCATTATCCGGTATCTGAAAGAACATGTACATAAAATAAAATCAGGAGAAACGGGTAAAAAACTACGATTCTCCCAGCCCTTTTCTAAATGCGACTGGCTTTGAGGGTGATAGGTCACTGGGGTCCCTACATAGTCGGCATATGCTGCCCCCTGCTGATGAGCCAAGGGACAGCATGCAGGTGTAGAGGGGTCAACCCAGGCTCCTCGTTCCATTCCTGACTTACAGCAGCTTCCGGGACAATATTCTATCCTATGTCCTATCTTCCTTGTTTGGAAGAAGGAGATGAAGGGTGCCGGACGGACAGGAAAAAGTGCGCGGAGTGGAATGTTGAAAGGAGACTCAGACGTATGGTGTGGGCAGCGGACGCTACGCCTGAGTCAGAAATTCCCGGGAGGTACTTGCAGACTATACACCTGGGGAGTCCAGAGTCCAGAGTCTCCGGCGGCTGTGATACCTTTTCTGGAGCAGCGCTACCGCCTGTGAGGGGCTGGTAGACTAACCCATCTCACTGAAGTCACAAGTACATTTCCTGTCTTGGGATGTAGTAAGCGAGGACAGGCATCTGCCTGTTCATCTTAATAAATAAAGCATATGTGGCTCCAGCTCGTCTCTGAGAAGAAAATGTGTGCCTAGTAACTAGTGGAAATGTTCCCGAGAGTCATACACGGGCCCGGGGCAGTTCTTGGGTGGGTCCATCCGTCCTCCACTGGTGACGAACTCCAAAACCTCCTGGTTGCTTTTGCTGGGGTACGGCATGTACCCCAGAGAGAAGATCTCCCACAGCAGCACGCCAAAGGACCTGGGCACAGGACAGAAGATAGGGATGTGGAGGGCATGGACACACACACGCGCGTTGTGACGTTTTGATATTCTCTCATTATCGCTTTCTCCATCACACACTATTAAAGTGCTGAAGAATAAAAAGAACGAGAAAGCACCATGTGACGTGCCACTGGACAATTCTACTGTTGTGTCATATTTTGCTTCAGCCAAGTTTCTGTGCTTTAAATTTTTTAAAATCACAGTTACCTTCAACGTACAATTTTGAACTTTGATTTTTTTGCACATTCCATTATAACATAAACATTTGATAAATAGAATTCGGAACAACTGTCCAAGTTCCCATTGAGTAGTTGTGCCATAATTTGCCTCATCATTTCCACATTGTTTTCAGTTTCCAAAATATTGAAATGACTATCATGAACATCTTTTGCATTTTTATTTTATTTATTTTTTTTCAGGTTTTTGCCATAGAGTGTGTGCTCTTGCCGCAGAGAGACAGAGGGAGACAGGGAGAGGGAACATGAGAAAGAAATCACTCCCGAAGAGGGCATGGCCACGCTGCAATCCCTTCTCCATTCTCCTCCTGGGATTTTGGGCACGCATGCATATCTGCCCGCCATGATTTTCAAGCCGCCAGGTTGGGGACTCGAATTGCAGTCGGCCATATAGGAGTCCATAACCACTCACCACCTGCTGGTCCACTTTGTGCATTTTTAAAAAGGATAATTTCCCCAGGATAAATTCCCTGATTAGGACAATCTAGTAAAATGTAAGATGATTCTGCTAGAATAACGAGATCAAAAGAACATGAACACTGAAAAGTTCTTGGTACATTTTGCCAATTTCATTTCCAAATGTGTCACCACCAGCATTGGGCAAGAGTGCAGCACTTTCACAAACATGAGGAATTTTACTAATAATGAGAACTTCTGCTTATTTTAAGGCAAAAAAAAAGTCAGAATGTTTCAAATTATTGACTTGAAAATTGCCATAGTTGGGGACCAGCAGTTAGCATAATGGCTATGTCGCTGGACTCCTATGTAGTCGACTGAGGTTCGAGTCTCAGACCCGGTGGCTTAAACTCATGCCAGGTGCGTGTGTGTGCGTGCCCAAGATTCTGAGAGGAAAATGGAGGAGAAGGGATTGTGGTGTGGCCATCGCCCCTGGGGGGTGATTTCTCTTTTTCTGTCTCTCTGTCTTTCTGGTGAGCGCACGCACCCTATAGCAAAAAAACAAAAAACAAACAAACAAAAAACTCTCCAAAAAAAATATATTGCCATAGTTGAAGGTTTTCTCAAGTATTTATTTATTTATATTATTACTTTTAAAAAATTGCTATAGGATATGTGTGCTTGCTGGAGAGAGAGCGAGGGAAAGTGAGAAGGCACTCCAAGGGTAATGGCCACATTGAAGTCCCATGTCTTCCTTCTACTCAGGATCTGGGGCAGGCACGTACACATGCCCAGCATGTTTTGGGAGCCATAGGGTCTAGGAGCTGAACTGCAGAGTCAGCCATGTGGGATCAAGCTGCCCTAATCACCACACTATCTAGATGGCCTCTTTCCCAAGTGTTAATTCACTTCATTTTTTTTCCTCCTATGTATTATCTATTCATATCTTTTGTCCATTTTTATCCTGTGGCATACATGGGGACATCAAAAGTTCATGAAAGGAGTTAAACTATCAGTTTATTTTCATGCAAAAAAATTTTTTTTAAATCCATGTGTAGTTTTTTCACAATATGCATCTTCCGTGAACTTTTGAAGACCCCGTGCATTATTTTAGTATCAATTTTCTTTTGACTTTTACACTCTTTACATTTTAAAGATGTTTCCTTTTTATTAAAAAGTTTCAAATTAGTTTATTTCACTAGTTTTTTTCTAACTGTACTTTTTAGCATAGCAAAGATTTCTATTTTCAGGTAGTGAAATCTATCTTAAAATATTTTGTGATCGGGAATAGCAGGTGGCACAGTGGGGAACAGGCCTGGAATCCTACATGGTTCACTGCAGTTTGAGTCTTGGACCTGGTGGCTTAAAAATCACATTGGGCATCAATGCATGTGCCCAAGATCCCAGGAGGAGAATGGAAGAGAAGGGATTGTGGTATAGTCACCCCTCTGGGGGATGATTTCTCGCTTTCCCTGTCATTATCTCTGTCTCTCACCAGTGAGTGCGTGTACCCTATGGCAAAAACCTTTTAAAAATTGTGATTTCTTGTTCTTTTTAAAAAAATTTTAATAATTTTTTTAGCAAGTTTATTTGTTATTGTTGTTGTTGTTGCTATAAGGTGCATATGCTCACTAGAGACACAAAGACACAGAGAAAGTGAGAAACCAATCTCTGGGGGGATGGCCATACTGCAATCCCTTCTCTTCCATTCTTCTCTTGGGATTTTGGGCATGCACACACACACACCCAGCATGAATTTCAAGCTACCAGGTCCAGGACTTGAATGGCAGTTGGGACTCCAGCGCCTTAACCACTATGCCACCTGCTGACCCCTTTGTTTATTTTATGGTTATGTAATCCTCGCTTCATCTAAATTAAATGAATATTTGTTATTTTCTTCTAGTTATATCAGTTTTTCTCTCCTTTCAAATCCAGTTGGAATTGAGGGAACCAGCAGTTAGCGTAATGGCTATGTCACTGGACTCCCACATAGTCGACCGCGGTTCGTGTCCTGGACCCAGTGGCTTAGAACTCACGCTGGGCGCATGTGCGTGTGTGCCCGAGATCCCGAGAGGAGAATGGTGAAGAAGGGATTGTGGTGTGACCATCCCCACTGGGGAGTGATTTCTCGCTTTTTGTCTCTATGTCTCTGTGAAGCCCCACCGCCCAAAAGGAAAAACCCCAAAAAAAAAAAAAAAAAAAAAAGAAAAGAAAAGAAAAGAAAAGAAACAAATCCAGTTGGAATTTAATTCAGTGTCTAATACAAGGTAAGGATCTAGATTAATTTTTTTTAAGTAACTCTTTCAACACCATTCATAAAATAGTCTTCTCCTTAATTGTTCACTTATGATTTAAAATAGATTTGTTTCTGGAGTGTCTATTCAGTTTACATATTTGTCTGCTTCTTGCATTGATATCATTATTATTATTTATTGCTGTGAGAGATTTTTTGCTATAGGACGCCTGTGCTTGTTGGAGAGACAGAGAGCACAAAATCACCTCCCAGGGCAGGTGGCCACACTGCAATCCCTTTTCCTCTGTTCTCCTTTTGGGATTTTGGGCACGCATGTACATGTACCCAGCATGAGTTTCAAGCTGTTGGATCCTGGACTTGAATTGCGGTCAACCACCTTTAACCAGTTGGCCACCTGCTGGCCCTGATGTCATCACGTTTTACTTTTTGCGTATTTTAATATCTGGCAGGGCATTATAGTCTCTCATTTCTCTCTTTTTAAAAAATGCATTTGACTTCTCATTTGTTACTTGTTTGAAATGAACTCTGGTCACACCTGATCCCCTTTCTCCAGTCCTTCAGCCTGCCAGGACCCTGGGCATGCCTGTGTTTGCAGGCTGACTTCGCTGGGGACTCGAACTGCAGTTGACATATGGCTTCCAGCTACACAGTCCTGCAGGATACGATGGTGCCACAGAAGTTCGACTCTGTATTTAGAATGCCTAGAGCTGTGAAGATATTCTGAATACAGAGCTTCCATACACACCCCACAAAGTTCTCCCTATTTCTATCATCACATCAGCTTGGCACATTTGTTATAATTAATGAACCAACATTAAGGCATTATTAACTAAAACCCATGTTTTTTATTTTCATATTTCCTTAGTTTTTACTGAATTCCCTTTTTTTCTGTTTCAGAATTTCATTAGGATATCACGTTACATTTAGTTGTCATGTTTCCGTAGGTTCCTCTCGACTGTGACGACATCTCAGACTCTTTGTTTTTGATGACCTTGCCAGATTTTAGGGGTATTGTCTGTTTTTCTCGTGATTAGAAAGAGAGGAAGACCACAGAGGCAAAGTCCCGTTTTCGTCGCATTGTGTCACGGGTACATGGCATCAGCATGACTTGGCTTGGTGGCTGTTGCCCTTGGCCACCGGGCTGAGGCCATGTCTGTCAGGCTTCTTCCCTGTGAAGGTTCTCATTCCCTCTTTCCAGAACTCGCTGAAGGAAGTTGCCACGTGCAGCTCGCAAAGGCTTCCGGAGAGTTATGGGCCACCTCCTGGAGCATCTCCCATCATCATATTTTGGTTTCAAAGGGCCCTTTTTCCCTAAAAGTATTGTTCTAAATAACCTATTGTCCCTTGCTTATGGTGCAATAATTTTTCTTACCTTTCTGAGGATATTATAGTTTTTAAAAGGTTTTCCTAAGTTTTCTACATTTTTCTCCTTCCAAGTTCCTTTTTATACGTTTGTGTCCTTTAGATCAGAATCTTGTGTTGGCTGTCTGTTCATATTTTAAGACTGGGGCATTAAAAGGTTGATGGAAAGCTCTATGAAAGTGAGGCTTTGTCAGCTGGTGGGTGTCTAGCTTGATTGTTTCTCTGGGTGTATTCGATTCCTGTAGCTGCTGTAACCAACTACCCTACACTCAGTGGCTGAAAGCAACACGAGCTCATTTGCTCACAGTCCTGAGGCCAGACCTCTGCAATCGATACCACTGGGCAGAAAGCAGGGCATTGGCAGAGAGAGCTCCCTCTGCAGGCTCTGGGGGAAGAGTCTGCCCCTGACTTCTCCCAGCTTCTGGTGGGCGCTGGACATCCTCACCTTGTCCTCACTCCAATCTCTGCCATGGCCACACTGCCTCCTCTTCTGTGAGTGTGAAATTACCTGCTTCCCCGCCCCCATGAAGAAACTTGGGATGACATTTAGGGATCATCCAGATAATCTAGGATAACTATGCCACCGTAGGATCTTCAACTTAATTACATCTGCAAAGACTCCTTTTTCTTGGGGACCAGCAGTTAGCGTAATGGCTATGTTGCTGGACTCCCATGTAGACGACCGCGGGTTTCATCCTGGACGCGGT